AGTTTGGGGACTTTAAAAAAAGTCAAAAAGTCAAAAAGTTACTCAAAAAGTTAAAAAGTTAACACTATTCACCAAAAGTCAACAATTACGGCTGCACAACTCCCAATCCTAATTTTCCCCTACAAACCAATTTTTACAATTTTTTAACAAATCAATTTTTACAATTTTTTATTACACATTTTTCAATAAAAAGTCAAAAAGTTAACCCAAACATCCATATTTTCAACCTCAATTTTTTAATCCAAAAAGACAAAAAGTACACTTTTTTAGTCTTCCCAAACTTGACCTCAGTCTTGTTGTTCAGCAGCAGGGGCAATAATTTATCTTGCAGTTCTCGTACTATGCCAATTAAGGTTGGTACCCCTTCTTGGGAATCCCACCATCCAATGATTGGTTAATTTTTTATTTTTTATTTTTTTTCTCTCTTATCTCTGTAGTTGATATGTGTCGAGAGTTGTGGAGATAAAAAAAAAAAAAAAAAGTCTCTATACCAATGCACCATGATAGCAACACATCAGTGGATCTGCCATGCGGGCAATCCCATCTCCCCGCCTTGAGAAGCAGTAATGCTGTCAACTTGATTCAATTTTTAAAAACATTTCAACTTCTCGCTTTTAACATTCAAAACTCAGAAGTTTGGAATTGTTTTTAACTTTCAAGTCAAGTAAAATGAGTCTGATCGTTCTCTCTCCCTCTCTCCTAGTTGATCTCTCCATCGCCATTAAGGGATTCTGACATTTGTAAGGTAAACTTGAAGACTGTTTTTATTGGCCCAGCACAAAAGCCCAATGTTTATACGTAGGCAAGTAAGATGATTCAGACAAAAAATATACAACAATGATCTACCTCTTAATTTTGGAACTCTAATTGAATTTAAATGATGTGAAAATTAAAAAAAAAAAAAATTAATGTCAAAATATCATATCAATAGATGAGCCCCACCCCCTAGAACTCGTTTAAAACTCATATTTTAGAGTTCCTAAACATTTTCCAAAAGACTAATACTATATGTACTAATTAGCATATCAAGTAGTATACCAATTGATGATGTGCTATAATTTAAGATATTTTTGGTATTTGTAATTTATATAATGAGTGAGGTCAATAATAATGACATAACTAGTGTTAGTACACTAATTGGTACATGTAGCACCACTCTTTTCAAAAACATATAAAGAAAATTATTCAGTATTCTTAGAATACCACGTATCTGTACTCCTAACCAATCATTATTCATTATTATATCCCTCAATCACTTAACACAATACCCCACCTACTTACTTTCTCCACGAATCACAATATTATAAACTATTAATGTTATACTCTAAAATTACTAAATAATTACTTAACATATAGTTATAGTACTGAGAAATTATGCACTATTCTAGGAGTTCCATCTCATCAATCCTATGTGGCGATCTGCACCATTCAGAGTGCTCATTTTCGACTTAGTGTCAGTGGGCCCGCCAGGTTAGCAACTGACTTAACCCGTAAGCAAATGTTAACGCCAAACGGAGGCTAAATAATTACTCAACATATAGTTATAGTACTGAGAAATTATGCACTATTCTAGGAGTTCCATCTCATCAATCCTATGTGGCGATCTGCACCATTCAGAGTGCTCATTTTCGACTTAGTGTCAGTGGGCCCGCCAGGTTAGCAACTGACTTAACCCGTAAGCAAATGTTAACGTCCATTAACCTAGAGAGAAGAAAGTCTATTAACTTTTAGAGAGAAAAAAAATTTATGTGTTTAGTTTGAGTTTTTTGTATTAAATTTTTTAAAAACTGGTTCTATTTGGTTATGATTTGTAAACGTGTTTCTATACGTGCTACTACTAAAAAAAGTATTTTGCAAATAATAAAAAAATAGTCGCAAAAGACTTTTTGCGACGGCCCATGCGACGGCAAATGAGGGTCGCGAATGTGGGGGTGGCAAATACTTTTTGCGACCACAAAAGGCATATTTTGCATTTTAACTTCATGTTGCATCTTTAAGTCAGGCTCGTATACATGCATTCCATTGTCTAGTTTGGGGTGTCAAACCAAACTCGAGGGGCGAGGAGTGTTTGTACTTCAAGTGACAAAACACGTCTCAACCCTCGGTCGCCAATCCCCTTGACTCTAACATAATAGGGTCTTGGCATTCATTTGTATGTTGCATGCATCTTTATATCAAGTGGCAAACTTGATCCTTTGGGCTATCATGCACCATTGATGGCTCGAGGATCAAGGGCCATGCTTCCCTGAATTCAAAGCATGATAAGAAGCATGACCATGCTTACATGTGCCTGAAATCCCATGCCATATTGTCTGTCCTCTGTTTGCTGTCAAAACTGTCTTCTGCAGGAGGTTTTTGCCGACCGGCATAATTCTGCGCCGGCCGGCAATCTGTTTACAGCCGATAGATCCAAAATCGGCCAGTGGGAACTGTGCACTGCCGGTGGTAATTTTCCCTAGCCGGTGGTACTCTGCAGCATGCAAGGAACCTGTCCTAGGGCTTTGGAAATTTTCAGAGAAGCAAGGCAGTATAAACAGAGGTGGCAGCAATGTGGTACGGGTTTTCCAGGCGAGCCGGGTTTCGAGCATGCATCATTCGCGTATCCCGAGGCAGAGGCTGCGGCCATCCCTTTCCTTTCTTTTTGCATTCTTCCTATTAAGCAAATTAGAAATTCTGTAATAATTTTATTTGCTTATTATTTTGACTGTAATATTTATTTGTATCCTCCGAGTGAGGGCAAATCTGTAATAAGTGTGGGTGAGTGTGTGTATGTCTTCCAATCCCCACTTCTTTCTTCCCTTTTATTTACCTGCTTATGATGGTAGATTAGGGCATTTTTGAAATTAGCATACCTTATGCTATGCATGCGTGCATTCATGCATTTGTATTGCATGCATTAGGCTCGGTACATCATGCTAACTGCATTTGTATTTCAAATTCCAAATTAAATACGTGAATCAATCGATCGCAATTCACATGCAATGTTTAGGGTTAGCCGAGCCTGTCTAGATTGCATTTTTGCATGCGATGCATTAGCCATTCTTAACATGAACTAGGACATGCATGCTTGCTAACTAGTTTATTGTTTTGGCATGGAGTACGATGTAAGTATTTATGTTTTAGCATCCCGCATGCGTGTGAGTGTTGCCATGACAGTATGCTTGCCATGCGGCTAAATGTTTATATGTTATAAACTGTTTGAATGCCTGTGGGTGAAGGTTGGATTGTCTAAGTTGGAAATACTCGTTGAAATCCATGTTTTAGCCTACTTGCGAGTAGCAAATTCCAAAACATTTTTCCAAAATAAACGGATATGCAATGCTTATTTCCAAATTAGGCGATTTAGTCTATACTTGTTTGCTGTGCGCATAACATAGTAATTCTAGGCTAATAAATGGAATAAGAACACATAATGTTTTCAAAAAACGGATATCACGGTTAGTAGAGGCCGATTGACTAATTGTTCTCTAGAGAACATATTATGCGCGTCGAATTGTTCAGGTACAGAACATTTTCGAGAATTTTAGCTTGTTCAATACACTTTCTACAAATATCTCTGATATTTACACCCAAGGCTCTATAAATAGAGCTCGACAGCTCATTTCTAAGGATTAGAAAATTGACCCAAGGCATATACAAGGCTAGAGACTCTTCCTCCTGTCTCTTCTACCTACCTCCATCAACTTTCAACAACCAAGCACCATTAAAGCTTAATCTTAAGCTCCTTGCTAAGGTTCTTGGACATTCTAGGACACATTTAAAGGCTATTGAGGGGACCAAGAGAGAGTTTGTTAAACAAAGAAGCTCATCCTCTTTAAGTGGTGAAATCATTGCACTTCTAACCACTTTTCTCCATCTTTTCCTTCATTTCTAACCTTATTCTTATCATACAACTATTGTAATCATGTAATAAGTCCTCATAGATGTGGTTGGGAATAGAAATTAGCCACTCATCCATTGAATTGATAGTTTTCTCTCTTTTCTTGCTTTCTTTAGCTAAGATCCATTGTTGTTGTGTACTTTAGAACCTTGTGGATGTGACAAGGAGTAGAAATTAGCCATCCATTCACAAGTTTCATATGTAGAATAGAGTTCTTTCTTTGTTACACATCTTCTCCTCACATATCCCATCATCTAAGCATATTAGTCTATGTGTCCTAGCATATGCTCAATGTTAATGAGTGATAGGGTTTTTCATAGGATTACTTGGATAATCCATCGGATTTGATGTTGAAAAGATTGTGTTATTTCATTTTATTGATTATTTTGAAAGTAAAACAAGAGATTTTATGTTAAGAGCATTGAGTTATCTCTTCTTAATCATTTGTGAACATGGAAAGGGGTAGAATAGTAGCAAGTTAGATAGAAATTTAGGAAAATATGTTGCCATTGATTTTGTTGAACATCATAATCATGATCTTGTGCCTCAAGAGTGCATTCATATGTTGCCATCCCAAAGAAAAATATCTACCACCCAAGCAATTGAAGTAGAATTGGCTGCAGAATTTGGAATTCCTCTTAGGTCTGCTTATGAGCTATTTGGTAGGGAATCTGGTGGAAGAGCATCACTTGGCTTCACCAAATTGGACCAAAAAAATTACTTGAGATCGAAGAGACAAAAAGATTTGGAATATGGAGAAGCGGGTAGTGTGTTGCAATACTTTCGTAAGAAAAGTTTAGAAAATCCATCATTTTATTATGTAGTCCAATTAGATTGTGAAGAGCAAATAAGTAACATATTTTGGGCGGATGCACAAATGATAATGGACTATGCTCAATTTGGTGATGTAGTAACCTTCGACACTACTTACAAATTAAATAATGAACATAGACCTTTTGAAACCTTTGTTGGATTTAATCATCATCGAGAAACTGTTGTATTCGGTGCAGCGTTGATGTATGATGAGACTGCCGAATCATTCACATGGTTGTTTCAGATTTTTTTGGAGGCAATGTCAAACAAAGCTCCAAAAACTATTTTCACCGATCAAGATGCTACGATGGCTAAGGCCATTCCCATTGTCATGCCTAGTACAAACCATCGACTTTGTACATGGCATTTGATGCAAAATACTGTGAAGCATGTGAGTTCCCTCTTTCAAGATGTTGGGGTAAAGGGTGTCTTTTCAAAATTTATGCATCAAATTGATGATGAAGAAGAATTCAAAATACAATGGGACCAAATGCTTCATAGGTATGATGCACACAACAATCATTGGTTGGCGCAAACTTTTGGTGTGAAGGAGAGATGGGGATGGCCATATATTATGAATTCTTGGGCAGCTGGAATGAGTACTACTCAACTAAGTGAATCATTCAATGCATTTTTGAAGGATTATCTCAATTGTGATCATAACTTGATGGAATTTTTCAAGCATTTTGGGAGAGTGCTCTATGACAAAAGGTATAAAGAATTGGAAGCCGAATATAATTTGTGTCAAAAATTGCCAAGGGTTTCCATTCCAACTGTGATGTTAAAGCAAATGGCAGATATTTACACCAAAACAATTTTTGAGGAATTCCAAAATGAGTACGTACAGTCCATTGAAGCATCCATTGTAGGCACTATTCATGATGGTGAGAGTACCATATTCACAATTCAAACGGATGTAGATGGACAAAAAGATAAGAATGTGACAATGGATAGAGATGGTTTTTTGAGTTGTAGTTGCAAGAAATTTGAAGGGAAGGGCATAGTGTGTCAACATTGTTTAAAGGTGCTTAGAGAGATAATCAATGCAAAGGACCTTCCTGCACAATACATACTCAAACGATGGACTAAAAAAGCAAGGGCTGAAACAGTGAAAGATAGGCGTGGGTATGATGTGAAGGCTGATGTCAAACTACATCAAAGCGACCGATATAGGTCATTGATGAATATGTTTAGAGCTATAGCAAGTAGAGCCGCCGAAAGTGAAGAAACTTATCATTTGTCACTTGCAAAAGGTGAAGAACTGAGTGTCATGGTTGAAGACAAATTAAGTGTGCACACTTTTGGTCAAGTGGAGATCACTGAATTCAGAAATTCCTCAGCTAACACATGCCCACAGAGTGATGAAGTAGATTGTCCAATCCAAGCCAAGGGACTGAAGAAAAGACAAGCAACTACTAAGGGAAGAAGGAGGATCAAGGGCGGGATGGAAAAATATATTGCGAAAAAGAAAAGAATGCAATCTAAGCAGGTAATTAATTGAAGTTATGTCTGATTGTTATGTGTTATCAATTTTGTGTTATGTGTGTTACAAAAATAATTTATTAAATAATTTGGTTGTTTGCAGGGTGATAGTTTTTGTACTCTTGAAGGTCAATATGAGCCTCCTGTTGCTATGGGTAATACTTGTAGTCAGGTAATTTTTACTATTGTGTGCAACCTTGTATTAATTTGATGGATTGATTATTCTTGCAACTAGTAGCGTTATATTGATTATTTTTGGTCTTTTGTGATGCACGTAGGATGGTTCTTTTTCTACTTATCAAGGTCAATCTCAACCTTCTTCTGACATGGGTAATCATTCGATACAGGTAATATTTAATTTAGGGTGTTTACCTTTGACATGCGTAGACGTTAGGAAATTGAACCTCATACGGAATTATGAACTTTGTCTTATTCTTTGCTTTATGTTGGTTTACTTTAGGGTGTTTACACTCCACAAAGTCAATCTCGACCTCCTTTTGCCATGGGTAGTAATTATGTTGGGGGTAATATCACATATTGTTTGTTTTTGAACATGAAAATGCATTATGATTTTTTTTAAAAATGCATTGTCTTATTCTTTGCTTTATGTTGGTTTACTTTAGGGTGTTTACACTCCACAAGGTCAATCTCGACCCCCTTCTGGCATGGGTCGTAGTAATTACGTTCAGGTAATATTTCATATTGTATGTTTTTTAAAATTAAAATACATTATTATTTTTTTTGATGGACATTCTTCTTTTATTTGTGTTGGTTTACTTTAGGGTCATGGTCACGAATCCCAATCTCAACTTTCTTTTGCCATGTGTCATACTAATTATGCCGAGGTAACATTTCATATTGTATGTTTTCTAAAATGAAAATAATTTATTACTATTTTTCATTTCATACTTTATTTTTTTACGTTGGTTTACTTTAGGGTGATGGTCGTGCAACCTATATTTCTCAACCTCAATCCCAATTTCGACCTGAATCCCAATCTCAACCTTCATTTGCCATGGGTCATACAAATGTACATCATGTCATGTATCCTACATATGATGTGAGTTGTAATTGGTTACATACTTTACATTGAAAATGTAGTATAGATTCTAAAAAAAGTTTAATACATGTATCACTATTGCAGGGAAATAACACGCCTCAGTCAATGCCGCCTGATTCAATGCCTTTACTGTATCCCACTCCGACATCGTTTCAGAAATTGCTTCGAGATAGTACTGCAGTCCAACTGTCACAAGCCTCACATAGTCCTGCTGACAGTCGTGTGGATGGACATCCCTGGAAGGCTTGCACTGAACGATGATGTTATTATATTTGTGGATTTGGGTGTATTTTTTTTTTTGATATGTGGGATTTGGATATTTTTGATGGACAATTTTTTGTATGTATTTGTAATATTTTGTGGGATTTGTATAATTTTTATGGATATATTTTTTATGTATTTGTAATGTTTTGTGGGATTTGTATAATTTTTATGGATATATTTTGTATGTATTTGTAATGTTTTGTGGGATTTGTATAATTTTTATGGATATATTTTGTATGTATTTGTAATGTTTTGTGGGATTTGTATAATTTTTATGGATATATTTTGTATGTATTTGTAATGTTTTGTGGGATTTGTATAATTTTTATGGATATATTTTGTATGTATTTGTAATGTTTTGTGGGATTTGTATAATTTTTATGGATATATTTTGTATGTATTTGTAATGTTTTGTGGGATTTGTATAATTTTTATGGATATATTTTGTATGTATTTGTAATGTTTTGTGGGATTTGTATAATTTTTATGGATATATTTTGTATGTATTTGTAATGTTTTGTGGGATTTGTATAATTTTTATGGATATATTTTGTATGTATTTGTAATGTTTTGTGGGATTTGTATAATTTTTATGGATATATTTTGTATGTATTTGTAATGTTTTGTGGGATTTGTATAATTTTTATGGATATATTTTGTATGTATTTGTAATGTTTTGTGGGATTTGTATAATTTTTATGGATATATTTTGTATGTATTTGTAATGTTTTGTGGGATTTGTATAATTTTTATGGATATATTTTGTATGTATTTGTAATGTTTTGTGGGATTTGTATAATTTTTATGGATATATTTTGTATGTATTTGTAATGTTTTGTGGGATTTGTATAATTTTTATGGATATATTTTGTATGTATTTGTAATGTTTTGTGGGATTTGTATAATTTTTATGGATATATTTTGTATGTATTTGTAATGTTTTGTGGGATTTGTATAATTTTTATGGATATATTTTTTATGTATTTGTAATGTTTGGTGGGATTTGAATTTTTTTATGGACATTTTTTATTACACCCAAGAAGGGATTATTGAAATTTCACAGCCGCGACGCCCGATATCCGATACGTACCGGTCGATACTACCGATACCGATACTCCGCGATCGATGCCGTTATGTTACCCGATACCGCGATTTAGAACTATGGTCCGCACAATCATATACTAGCACACCATCAAGAGTTATTAAGTACAAACAAAGGTAGAAGCTAAACAACAAACAACAAAAATAGAATACAACACAAAGTAAAACAAAGCAAAAACAAAAAAACAAAAAACAAAAGTAAATAGTAGCAGCAGCCATCCTAAAGAAGCTTTTCCGCTCACAGCTCCACCTCTAGTCATCACCTAACATATACACCTCTTCACCTGCTGGAAGTTCTGCATAATGTCATTGATAGAATAGAAACAGTCTACATCATGAGCTTTCATCCAAATTGTCATCCTAACTTTGATAAGATCACTAAGAGCATCTCCAATGCATTGCTATAACAGTTGCTAAAGTCATAATATGGCAGCTTGAGCAAAAAACAGCTTCTCCAATGGCATGCTATAATAGCTGCCAAATTTGGCAACTGCCAAATCAAGTGCCAAATTTGGCAGCTACTTTGGCAGCTGCCAAATATGCCAATTCACCCAAAATTAGCTGTTTTCTCTCTTCCCTCCTTCCCTCTATCCCTTTCGGTTGGGATTTTCCAGATTCATCAATATTCATGAATGAACAAGAATGAACAAATTCATCAATATTCATGAAGTTTTATTCATCAATATCCCAGAATTCATCAATATTTAGCAAATTCATCAAATTCATACCAAAAACAGATTTAAAAATATTTCATCAAATTCATACTAGAATTCATCAATATTCAATAACAGATTTAAAAAATTTCAAGAAAACGAACATAAATAATCTGAAATTAATTTCTCCCTCGGAGATTTAATCTGAAATAATCTGAAATAAAAATTAATCTGAAATAATCTGAAGAAGAAATTAATCTGAAGTAATCTGAAAGATTTAATTCTGTTTCCCAGAACCTATGTATATATATATATATATATAAATTAATCTGAAGAATTGGAGATCGGGGCTGAAGAATTAATCTGAAGAAGAAAGTTAGGGCATTCGTCTCTCTCTCTCTCTCTATGTATATATATAAATTTGCCTCTGATCTTGCAGGAGATCAGGGCTGAAGAATTGGAGCAGGTTGGAAATGGTGAGAAGTGTGAAAAGTCACCACAAATTTGATGATCTGACACTGAAATTAGACGGGAAGAGCACTGATCAGAAGACGAATGCGGTTCGCTCGAAGCATTCGGAGACAGAGCAGCGTAGAAGGAGCAAGATTAATGAGAGGTAATCTCAAATAATCCAAGAAAAATACCTGATCCGAGGGTTGAAGTTCACTGATCCGAAGTTCATCTTCACTGATCCGAGGGTTGAAAAGGGTTGGAAGTTCATCGTCATTGATCTAAAGCTGATTCGAAGTTCATCGAAAGCTATCTCCCTCTTATCTTCACTCATCCAAAGCTCTGATCTTCCCTCTGACCTTCCCTCTTCCCTCTGATCACTCATCCGAAGCTCTCTCTCTCTCTCTCTCTCTCTCTCTCTCAAGTTTCGAAGCTCTCAAATTGTTAAGAGTAGATGTGTAAACTTTCCTAAAGTTTATTGAACTTCGAGGCTCTCCAAGTGTGAACTTCGAGGCTCTCCAGGCTCTCCAAGTGTTACTTTATTGATTAAAAAAAATAAAAATTAAATAAAAACATAATTGAAGCATATCTACAACGGCTATAAAAAAAACGGATGAATACAAACTGGGTATAAAAACGGCTAAAAAAAAAAAAAAAAAACTCTTTTTTATGTTGAAACGGATATAAAAAAAAACGGTTCTTTTTTTTTCTATAAAAACAAACCTTCTCTACTCTCTTTTTACTCAATTTCATTTCACAACAAATTTTTTAAATTACATTTTTATTTATATTTTCTTTACACAATTGGTATGAAAGGTTTATCAAAAATAAAGAGAGGAAAATCATTCACCATTGCTGAAGATATGACACTTTGTAATGCTTGGTGTCACATTTCTGAAGATCCAATTGTTGGCAATTCACAATCTTATACTCACTTTTGGGGGAGAATTTATGAAAATTATTGCTCCCTTCAGAATGATCAGTCAAGAACACAAGTTTCTATCCAATCTCGATGGGGTACAATCATGAAATGTTCTAACAAATTTTGTGGATGTTTAGCGCAAGTCGAAAATCTACACCCAAGTGGGATGTCTCAAGTTGATCTAGTAAGATTTCATGTTCATTTATTACGTTAGTTTTTTATTTTATTTTATTTCGTCTCATATAAAAATTAAATAATTACTTAATTAACTATTGATACATATTTTATTTTATCTAGTAAGATCTCATATTTTGTTTTTATTTTATTGATACTTACTTAATTCAATATTGATACAGATGCTTCAAGCAAAACTTTTATACCATCAAGATGAAAAGAAACATTTTGTTTTTGAACATTATTGGTCAATCTTGCAAAATAATATAAGGTGGTAAGATGTAACTCCTACGAATACGGTGAAGTCAAGGATACATACACCATTTTCCCCCTGATTCAGCCCCCGATTCCCTGATGGATAATTGCATTTCTCTTGAAGATGACACCAGTCCAAGTGTTGGAAACAATCCAACTGTTGGTGAGGGCAGTGTCTCTGCAAGGGGTAAAAGGCCGATGGGTAGGAAATCTGCAAAAGAATTATTTCGGAGAAATCAAGTCATTGAAACTGAAGTCCAAAAAATGAGTACACAATTAGACACCTTTAACCACCACCTTGCTGAGAAAGAAAAGAAAAAAGAGGAAAGAAAAGAAAAAAGGATTCAAGCACTACAGCAGATGAAAGAACTTGAGATGCAAAAGCATGAGTTTGAGATGAGAAAGGAAGAACACCAAATAATGACTACAGATATTTCTCATTTGGACCCTCAGATGAAAGCGTATTATACAATGCGAAAAAATGAGATTTTCGCCAAGTGGTCCTCAAATGTGAGCAGCCCAAATTTTTATTACCCCCTACCTCCTGATGAATAATTACGAGATCAATGTTAGTCTTTATTTTTTGCAATATCATTTATTTTTTTATGTAATTGTTAGTCTTTATTTGTAATGTAATTTTTATTTTGAAATGAAATTTCATGTTGTTTTAAGAAACATTTTTGAGTATCTTGTACTTCACAATGTAAAAAAAGACATTTTATGAAAAGACATTAACTGACATTAAAAGACATTGTAAAATAAAAAGACATTAAATGAAGAATATTTTATTAGAATAAAAAGACATTAACTGATAGTAAATGACATTAACTGTCATTAAAAAGATAAAATGCAAACTTAATCTAACTCTCTAGCTCGGGACCACAAGTGTTCAATTATATCATTACGAATTACATTATGGGCTTCAACAGATCTAATCCTTTGCCGATTTAACATAAATTGAGCATACTCCTCATTCGGATCGCGTGACACTTGACAGCCCAAATTATTGGTATCAGTCTCAAGTTGTGCTGCACTGAGTTCATTTTCTGGAATATCACTCTCGTCTTCAATGATCATGTTGTGCAAAATAATGCACGTCTTCATGATGTAGTATAGATCCTTATTACTCCAACCTCTAGCTGGCACGCTGACAATATTAAATCGTGCTTGGAGCACTCCAAATGCCCTTTCAACATCTTTCCGACATGCCTCTTGCATCCTCGCAAATAGTTGTCTCTTTGCGCCTTGAGGTTGAGATATTGTTTTCACAATCGTTGCCCAACGAGGATAGATACCATCAGCAAGATAATACCCCATGGTGTATGCGTAATTATTGATGGTGTAGTTGGCAACAGGGGCACGTCCTCTAGTTAATTCAGCAAATAAAGGCGACCTGTCAAGAACAGTAATATCATTTAGAGAGCCAGGTATACCAAAGAAAGCATGCCAAATCCACAAGTCATAGGAGGCAACTGCCTCGAGTACAACTGTTGGTTTGTGATAGTGTCCAGTGTAAGCACCAGCTTGGGCACTTGGACATTTATCCCAACGCCAGTGCATACAATCCAAACTCCCTAACATTCCAAGAAACCCGCGTTGCTCTCCCTCTTCTAATAATCTGGCGACATCTGCTTCATTTGGAGATCTTAAGTAAAAGGCTTCATAGGTAGCAACAATTGACCTGGTAAAAAAATTTAAGGCAACAATTGCAGTACTTTCACCAATTCTAATGTACTCGTCTACAGCATCAGCAGGCACGCCGTATTGGAGGATCCGAAGTGCTGCAGTCATCTTCTGTACACCGGATAATCCAGGAGCACCAGTGGCATCACGGGTTTGGATGAAGTACTCATTCACTTGTTGAATATCGTGTACGATACTAACAAACAATGACCGCTTCATTCGAAAACGTCTTCGGAAGTATTCTTCTGGATAGATAGGATTATCTGCAAAATAATCTCTATAAATTTGTTCGTCGCCTTTGACCCTTTCACGATTAATGTATCGACGACCACTTGTAGAACCAACACGTCTGGTTTGTTGGTTTAGGCTTAACATCTGTAATCTTTGTTGTTGCGTTGTGAATAGTTGCATCATGATAATATCATCATCAGATGATGAAGATTCATCAAAATCTCCATTTAATATGGCTTTACTCAAATTGTTCATTGTAGATGGATGGGTGAGTGGGTGAATATGAAAATTATAGAAAATCTTCTTGGTGGGTACAGAGAGTTTTGAAGATATGAAAATGATAGGTAGGTGAATATGAAAATTGTAGAAAACCTTATTTTATATTTATAGAGAAAATTGTGGGTGGGTAAATAATGGATGGTTGTTGGGTGAGTGAATGAATAATGGATGGTTGTTGGGTGGCTGAATGAATAATCGGTGGTTGTTGGGTGGGTAGATGAATAATGGATGGTTGTTGGGTGGGTGGATGTGAGTGAATGAATGCTGGATTAATAATGGATGGTTGTTGGTGGTTAGTTGTTGGTGGGTAATTGGTGATTGTTTATTTTTTATGTGTAGTTAAAAAAATTTATTAAATTTGTAGTGATATGTTTTTTGGTGGGGTGAATAAATCAAACAATATTTTTTTTTTCCAATTTTTCATTTTTTTTAATTTTTTATATTTGTCTAGTTGAGAATAAAATAAATATATAATTTTTTTAACAAACAGATAAAAAAATGTCACAAAAGACAAAAAATAAAATCACAAAAAACCTATATCCAAACAACACCTGCAAATTTGGAGGGAAAGTTGGTTGAGATTTGCCAAAAATAGCAAATGACCATTGGAGCACCATTGCTATAATTTGGCAAAATAACACTATTCATTGCCAAATTATAGCAATAGCAACCCCAATATAGCAACAACCATTGGAGATGCTCTAAAAGGAGCTCTATTGAATTGGCAATGCAGAAAAAAAAAAGAAAAAGAAAAAAAAAGAGGCTGTTTTAAAGCTCCTTTTAGGACTCTAAAATATTTTTTCATAAACCAAATTATGGTTTCAGAAAACCCAACAGAAGCACAATAATTTGCATCCTGGAATGAAAAGTGAATTTAAACATTTATTCTTTTGCTTAAAGGGCATATGTATTACGTAAATAAATCCATTATCTCTGAAACATCTTCAGCAAAATGAAGAAAAAAGAAAATACAGGCAGTTTCATTTTTGAGCTACTTTTGAGAATTTTAGTCCTCTACTTGCATCTGTCCAGTCAATCTAGCCTTCCTGGCAACCTCTTATCCCAAGCAGCAAGTATGTCTTCTTTAATCAACAAGTCTGGTACACAAAAAAGAAAAATTGATCAGAGCTTGCAATGGAATAAAAGAGAGAAATTTGATCAATGCCCAAGTTGATCAATGTCTTCTCTAATCAAAGAGAGAAATTTGATCAGAGCTTGCAATGGAATAAAATAAAATACGGGCAACTTCATTTACATTTATTTACATGTTAAATCATGAATAGTAAACAATCAATGCCAAAGTTGCCTGCCAAAATCAAAGGAATAGTCATCATGCATGTAAGAATGTATACAAAAGGAATTTTTATTATGGAGAGGGACGCATTCTTAAAAGCATTTCTACAAACAACTGGTGTGTAGGATACAAATGAAGGAACTATCTATGTTTTTTACACTGAATTCAAGCAAAACTGAAGCAAGAATGTGAAATTCCTTCGAAAAATGTTGCCAGTTTAATGATTGTCATAAAAAATTGGTGAAGAGAGAGAGAGAGAGAGAGAGAGAGCATGAAGAGTTGCATTGTGATGGAGCTTGTGTGAAGTGGTTGTGCCCACACTGGCTGTTAGCACCGGTGGTCGTTGGTTGGGCTGATCAACAATGGTGATAGACAGGGACGGACGCAGGATTCTAATATTAGGGGAGCGAGTGTATATGCAATCAAAAAAATTTATAGTGAGCATGTGATACACAATATCAATTTCTACCCAAATATCACAAAAATATATAATTAGATGTTTCCATTTATCGTATATAATTACAAAATATTATCAAAATACAATTATATATGTTCTAGTAAATCCATATTAATTTAAAAAAAAACAACTATTTGCTTTACATATCTACTTAGGCATCTAAAATTAAACTCGACGTTCTTTCATAACATAAAAAGTATCTATTATGGAATCTACATCAAAATCTCGAGCAATGTCTTTCTCAACATATGTTAACAAGTAGCTTGAAAGAAAATCATCCTCCATCCTGTTACGCAATCTAGTCTTAACAATTTTCATGACTAAAAATGTACGTTCTGTTGTCGCCGTATAAATTGGTAAAGTTAGAACAAGACGAATTAATCTATCGACAAGAGGATAAATTGTTGACTTCCTTGTTGTTACCAACATTTGGCACAATTCAGAAATTGTCAACAACTGCTGAAACTCAGGATGTTTAAGGATGTCAATCTCGTAATTTTGCACATGGAATTTCAAATGTATTCATTTCCTGTAGTGTTAGAACAAGACGAATTAATCTATCGACAAGAGGATAAATTGTTGACTTCCTTGTTGTTACCAACATTTGGCACAATTCAGAAATTGTCAACAACTGCTGAAACTCAGGATGTTTAAGGATGTCAATCTCGTAATTTTGCACATGGAATTTCAAATGTATTTTTTTTTTTGCTCTGTAAAATCTTTAGGATAAAATTGATTTGCAAGCTTGCATCTATCTTCAAGTTTGAACGAACTGTAATCATCCCTAGGATTTAAAGCAGAGCTAAGAATAAGCAACTCCATCACATCTTCTGTGAATCTGTTGTTCAATTCTTGCAATTGAGAATCACATATAATTGTAAAAATATCAACCCGAAAATGATGCTCAATAGTAATGTGATCTGTTTGGTGACAAGCACGACCTCTACCAGATGTGTAACGAGCACTCATATCAGGAATATCTATGTCATATTTTTCACAAAATCGTTGAACATTCTCCAACAAAGGAATCTATCCACCTTCTCTATATTTTTGAACAAGTGCTTTTGTATGCATTGCATTCAATATATCTTGGGATTTACGTTGCAAAGCTTGGCAAAAATCATTAGTAGTCCCCATAATATCTCTCATAAGATGTAAGATAAACACAAACTCAAAAGATGTAATCTTATCATAAACTCCATCTGCATCTGCATGTTGAGTAGAGATGGCTCTATCATTGATGACATTACTTAAGACTGAACAAGTTGCACCAAACATATTTATCAAACTGGAAATAGATCCCAAGTGAGAACCCTATCGAGTATCTCCAGCTCGTTTCAATGTCCTAACTTGATTTTTGCCTTTACCAGTTTCAACTTCATCAATGGCAAGTTTTGCTGCAATTTCTTTAGTTTGAGCAACTTTCAACTGATCATGCCTTTTACAAGAAGAGCCACATAGATTAAATGTGAGAGCCAAATGAGAAAAAAAATTGGGCTAATTGGAGTCGATGAGCAAAGCAATGAACATAATACACAAAATGACAGTCATGAAGAAATAAGGCCTGCAACCCAGTCCACTCTCCACGCATATTACTAGCACCATCATACCCTTGACCGCGAATATTTTGTACACTGAGATTATGACGAGATAGGACAATACATATTTCTTCTTTCAAAGTTGCTGATGTTGTATCTGATACATGAACTATGTAAAAAAAATGCTCCTTTATAAAACTATCTTTATAAAAAAATCTTAGAACAATAGCCATTTGCTCCCTCTTTGATTCATCTCGAGCTTCATTTACTATAATACAAAATTTTGCTTCATCAATCTCCTCACGAATGAATCTTTGTATTTTGTCAAAGAAAATACTAAGAATCTCTTTTTGAATTCGATGCGAGTAGTATGAAGCATTTTGAGGAGCTTTGTGTAACACAACATCTGCTACATCCCCATCATAAGATACCAAGAGCTTTATTAATTCAATAACATTCCCTCAATTATTAGAATCATGACTTTCATCACGACCTCTAAATACACAAGCTTGAAATGTAGGCCATTTGACAGCATCTATTGTAGTCTTCAACCGTAAATGGTTTTTTGTAACTTGTTGAGAAGTTTGTTTCTCAACTATCTACTCAATGTGTTGCACTTGATTTGTTAAATCATGGCAAGATCTAACAGCAATTCTGTGTGATGAATTAGGACCCTTTCCCATACACAACATCTGCCACATCCCCATCATAAGATGCCAAGAGCTTTATTAATTCAATAACATTCCCTCAATTATTAGAATCATGACTTTCATCATGACCTCTAAATACACAAGCTTGAAATGTAGGCCATTTGACAGCATCTATTGTAGTCTTCAACCGTAAATGGTTTTTTGTAACTTGTTGAGAAGTTTGTTTCTCAACTATCTACTCAATGTGTTGCACTTGATTTGTTAAATCATGGCAAGATCTAACAGCAATTCTGTGTGATGAATTAGGACCCTTTCCCATATGAGTTAAGAAAGCATAATTCTTCCCACTATTGACTTTCTTCTATGAAGAAAATCCATTAGAAATGAAAGCGCTAGAAATAGTGCGTCCATTCGGTTTTGTAAAAAGATAGCAAGGAAGACAAAAGGCACAATGTTTGGTTGGAGAATATTCTAGCCAATCTGGAAATAACTTGTACCAAGAAGCTAGAAAATGACGCACATTCTTCTCTTGAAAAGGTTGGTTGTTAGGTTGGTATGGTCCAAACTTGATGTAAACTCATCGAATCTTATCACGTTGAGATATCAAATAATTCCAAATTTGTGATCGTAGTCCTGGATCCCTTACCAAAGAAGATGTATCAATTTCTTTGGATTCTATTCTAGGCACTTTACAAGGACGTTGTTCAGGAATTGAAGCTTCAACATTATCAGTGGAAGGTTTTGTAGTTGCATTAACTTCTATATCTTGAGAGCCTCTTTTCTTAAAGAAAAAATCAATTTTTTTGTTCACCATAATTCATCTAACATTCAACTCAATTTTATTTAAGAAACTGAAATTTATTAAACAATTTTTGTTACTCACTGGGTAAGAAGCACACTAACAATATAATCTAATCTAACAAAGGACATGTCATTTTCAATGGGTGAACAATAAGAATCTTCAGAGTAATAGAATTTCTAACCCTAACGAGGTGAATAGCATCCAAATTAAAATGAATTGCAACGAAATTAAAGATATTTAAGCCTATTCATCTCTGAGAAATTAAAGATATTTATTATTATTATTATTTAAGCCTACAGTAAATGCTTGGTTTTGCAACCAAAGCAAGAGAAGATTTCGATTTCATTTTCATTAGTTTTTCTCCAGTTTCTCAGCAACCAAACAGAGTATATTCAGATTTTTGTTATTTCCAAAAATGAGATTAATCATTTAAAAAAAAAATTAGACAATAAATGAGCGAATAAATTTGAAATTTTTTTGGAAGAGATTAGTATTACCTAGAAGTGAAAAAGTGAAAAAGGAATAATTCATTTGTTGTTTCAGTGCGATGCGAGGCCTACGAGTTCTTTTCAAAACTTTCATATCATTTACACACAGAGAGAGAGAGAGAGAGAGAGAGAGAGAGAGAGAGAGAGAGTAAAGTGGAGAAGGGGCTTAAACAATTAGGTTAATAAGAATTTGGGGACCTTTTCAACTCAAGTGTGGGCAGGTTACACGTGAGTATTATTTTTTTATTTTATTTTATTTAGTTATAACCAAACAACTAAAAAATTTGGGCACTAATCAGACGAAAAGGATTTTAACATATTAACAAATAAATTCTCAATTATTTTAACATTACTAAATTTAAAATAAAAAGTGATAGGGAAATTTATATCTAAATTGGGCCAAGCTGAGTAGTGGGCCATTGTGGGCCACGGTAAGAAGGGCTGAGTATAAAGGCCTTGGAGATAGCCCGACCCAAGATAGCCTTGGAGTTAGCCCGGTCCAAGATGACCTTCAAGTTAGTCCGGTCTAAGAGTTAGCTTGGTCGCCACGCTCAGAGTTAGCCCGGTCATGGTGTATTATTGTTAGCTCGGTCAGAACCTTGCTATTAGTTAGCTCGGTCCAAGCACACCATGGTTTGTACAGGGGAAACCGAGGTAAGAGCAGTGAAAGGAAGAACCAAACTAGGCATAGTTTGGTCTACTCTGCGATTTTAGCATGGCCATGCTTACCTCGGTCATGTTGGAATCCGACCATGGTAAAACCATCTCACTTGATTTAAGCAGTGAGGGGGGTGTTGAAGGATAAGCATTATCTTTCAGGAGTATGACTCCTAGGAGGACTCTCCATGGAGGAGTAAAATTCCTACTAGGATTATGCCATGTGGAACCTATAAAAGCTCATAACATCACCTATGGAGAGGGAACACAAATTTGTTTCTCGAATACACAGAGCTTTTGTTTATTTACTGACTTAGGCATCGGAGAGGTATCCGGCATACACCTGCCGGCTAGCTCACGTTTGTGTTTTCAGGGAGTAAAGCGACGTCGTATGAAGGAGCACAGACTTGATCAATAGGATTATACGAGAAGGTTTATTTCTTTCCTGTACAATTGGCGCCGTCTGTGGAAATACTAGACACAGAACAAAACCTCTTGATCAAGTTTCCCTCGCTAATTGAATGGCGCACAACGAAGATTTGCCACAGTCCGCCATTGATGGACAAACCCCAGAGTGGGGTGGGAGGCGCGAAGGATTGCCCTCTATCCCTCCCGTGGCGGACATAGAGCCCCAGCGACAGAATCCCCAGAGGGATGCAAGGGGGAGGCGGAACAACAGCCCCTGTCGCTCTCGCTCACAAAGTCTTGAAAGGCAAAGGCGAAGAATTGACCCTCAAGCTCTGGAGGATCGTGTAAAAGAGCAAGGTGAACTAATAAGGAAGATGGCGGCGGACATGAAGGCCATGAAGCGCCAGATCAAGGGAAAATGGGTGGCAACAGGAGAGGGGCGCAAAGGCAATACGTCTCCTCGCCACTCAGAAGATCGTGGTAGGCATACCACGCCATCGCAAGCAGAGAGTAGAAGCCTCAGGACAGGCGGCACTCAATCAAGGACTTCTGGAACTCGTTACTCTAGGTCTGAGAGAACGAGATCATTAAGGTCTTACACTGAGGGAAGTACCTATCGGCCCTCACATACGCACCAGACATCATCCAGGCAAACGGAGTTGCCTAGATCGTCCGACTTAAGGACTGTGCTTGAAAAAAGGGCGTAACAGAAGGAGGATGCCAGGGCACGCGACCCACACAGAGTTTCAGTCCATCAGCGGTTGGCTCCTCGGATGCATGGAAGCGTCGAGGTTGGAATACCGATACCACACCTTGCCTACGAACCAACAGATAAAGCGTTGGCAAGACTACATAGCTCGCCGTTCGTTCCGACGATTGAGAACGCACCATTACCCTCAGGCTTCATCCAGCCTAAATTTACCACGTACGAAGGGAAGACAGATCCCTATATGTACTTAAGCCACTTTCGCCAGGTTATGGCAGTATACCGGCGAAACGAAGCTTTAATGTGGGTATGACTTTTAATTGAGGCAACTTGAAAGAATGGATCCATGTAGCAAATCTCAAATAATTGCGACAAAGGATCGTTGAGAATAAATATAATAGTTTTCTATAAATGTCCAATTCTAACACCAAGACAAACCTAAACATCATTTTAAAAAGCTAACATGCCAATAATACATTGCCTAATAATATTATACGAGAAGGTTTATTTCTTTCCCGTATAATTGGCGCCGTCTGTGGGAATACCAGACAAAGAACAAAACCTCTTGATCAAGTTTCCCTCGCTAATTGAATGGCGCACAACGAAGATTTGCCACAGTCCGCCATTGATGGACAAACCCCAGAGGGGGGTGGGAGGTGCGAAGGATTGCCCTCTATCCCTCCCATGGCGGACTTAGAGCCCTAGCGACAGAATCCCCAGAGGGATGCAAGGGGGAGGCGGAATAACAGCCCCCGTCGCTCTCGCTCACAAAGTCCTGAAAGGCAAAGGCGAAGAATCGACCCTCAAGGTCTGGAGGATCGTGTAAAAGAGCAAGATGAACTAATAAGGAAGATGGCAGCGGACATGGAGGCCATGAAGCGCCAGATCAAGGGAAAAGGGGTAGCGACAGGAGAGGGGCGCAAATGCAATACGCCTCCTCGCCACTCAGAAGATCGTGGTAGGCATACCACGCCATCGCAAGCAGAGAGTAAAAGCCTCAGGACAAGCGACACTCAATCAAGGACTTCCAGAACTCGTTACTCCAAGTCTGAGAGAACGAGATCATTAAGGTCTTACACTGAGGGAAGTACCTATCGGTCCTCACATACGCACCAGACATCATCCAGGCAAACGGAGTTGCCTAGATCGTCCGACTTAAGGACTGTGCTTGAAGAAAGGGCGTGACAGAAGGAGGATGCCAGGGCACGCGATCCACACAGAGTTTCAGCCTTTCAGTGGTTGGCTCCTCGGACGCATGGAAGCGTCGAGGTTAGAATGTCAATACCGCACTTTGCCTACGAACCAACAGATAAAGCGTTGGCAAGACTGCATAGCTCGCCGTTCATTTCAACGATTGAGAACGCACCATTACCCTCAGGCATCATCCAGCCTAAATTTACCACGTACGAAGGGAAGACAGACCCTTACATGCACTTAAGCCACTTTCGCCAGGTTATGGCAGTATACCGGCGGAACGAAGCTTTGATGTGCATTCTATTCCCATCCAGCCTTGGCGACCTAGGTTTAACCTGGTTCGAAAGGCTGCCAGAAGGCAGCATAGCCTCCTAGGCGCAATTAGCAGAGGCATTCGTGACAAGATTCAGAACGAACACCAAGACGCCAGTGGAGATTGATCAGCTACTCTCCATTGACATGGGCGACAAAGAAACATTGAGATCCTACAACAGTCGCTACTGGGAGACGTTCAACCAGATAGGGGACTGCCCCACCAATCTCGCCATCGCACAATACAAAAGAGGACTTCCAGTGGGAAACAGATTAAGGGATTCGATTACTATGACTCCACCTCTCACAATGGAAGCCTTGATGGAAAGGGTGCACCAACATATTCGGGTGGAGGAGGATGACGCCCGTGCCAAGGCAAAATCTGGTGTAACAGCAACACCAAACAAGAAGACTATAGTGAAGGTCAATACGGTAGAACGTTAAAGCAAAAATGGACGAGGCAGGCGAGACAACGAAGAGGACCGAGATAAAAGATGGTTGAGAGTCCGCACTGCCATTACCACGGTATTCAAGAAACCAATCTACTGGATTCTCAGTGAGATATGCGATGAACCTTTCGTCAAATGGCCAACTAAATTGAGAGAAGCACAGAAGGACTACGGCGAAAGATCTCAGTGCACCTTCCATAAGGAAAAAGGGGCACCGCACTGAAAATTGCACACCGTTGAGACAACATCTGGAGGAATTAGTGGCAGCTAGCCACCTGGATCGGTACATAGAAGGAAGGACGCAGCCAGCCCCCCAAAAACACGACCACCAAGACGGAACACCGAACGACGCCCCACCTCAAGGCGTGATAAACGCAATACATGGGGTATTCGAGCCTGAGCGAGTATGTGAGCTCAGGGGCATGATAAAGAAGGCTGAGCACTTAAGGGAGGTATTCAGTGCGCAGCCCACCATTAAAAAGGGGAAAACAGAGGCCACGAATGTCATGTCTTTTTCAGACAAGGACTTGGAAATGATATATTGCCCTCACAACGATGCACTGGTCGTCACTCTCAGCATCAAGGATTACGACGTCAAGCGAATTTTGATTGACCAAGGAAGCTCATACGAGATAATGTACTACAAAACTTTCAAACAGTTGAAATTGAAGGACAAAGACTTGGCACCCGCCGTATCTCCCTTGATCGGGTTTAACTCAATGCCAGAATGGCCAGTCGGCAAAATAATCATCCCAGTCAGAGCAGGAAGCATGACTAAACAAGTGGAATTTTGGGTAT